ATAGAAATAAGCAGAACAGCAACTGGAAAAATGAAAGACAGGCAATTTGAAAGTTGCTGTCTTTTTCTTCAACCAACAGGGTATCATAATTGGCCCAAAGCGACAAGCTTAGGAACGCACGTGAGAGTATGGTGCCACCACGGTCTGGTAGTTATGGTGTCTCCACGGATTTGTCAACCAGACTCTTCCCTTTGATAGCACGTTCTTTCTTCCCTTCAGAAACTTCACACTGTATTTACTCCCTTCAACTCCCCTCCCCCGTGCAGTGGTGGTACAAACGTTTGCTTTTATTCACGGACAGACCTCCAACTTCTACCGCATGAAAAGCCTTTGGCATTTGAAGTTTCTATGCCAAACATGATCAGAGCCATTATGAGAATGCTTTCTTTGTGCATACAAGAAGAATAAAAAGGTTTTTTCAATTACATGTACATACATTTCAGAGCACAACGCATACGTGTTCAAGTTAACAAAACAGTGGAGCCATCTCTTCTCCATTCCAAAACCTAAAACCATTTAAAATAAAGAACAGCTAATTCTTTAAGAGTGGCAATACCAACACACACATTGTTTTCTTATTTTAATCGATAAGGTTTCATGCGGGGGTCATTTCCTATAAACTTCTCGAAACATACTGGTTCCTACCTTTGTTTTCGCTCACCACATGAATTGTCCAATCGGTAGTTGCCGTTACTATGATAAAGATGAATCCTATCAATATGAAGACGACAATAATGCTTTTGAAGAGGTACGAGAAGATGGTGTCAAATGTCCGCTTTGGGGGTTGCGCGATGGCTACTCCCTTTTCGTTCTTGATGTTGAAGTACCTCCCCATATTTGCTCTTGTGAGTTTTTTCCCTTGGTCAAACACTGAATCCAACGCAGTACTCAAACCTAAGCTGACACAAAACCGAGGGGGCTTAACTTTCCCAACTGCAAATGGCTTGTTGTGGATCAAAGGCCAACAGCAATGTTCAGGAAGCAGTGATCTATGACCACGGTCTCCGATATATGCACCAGGTGCTTAGTGTTTGGATGCTACAAACTGCCAAACTGACCAACTTTCTGTCTCTATCTGGAGTAAGTGCTTCTTCAACGACGCTACTCCGATCCAACTACAGTCTGGGTGCACGGACACGGCTGCTGGTTCATCCAGTGATTTCTGCCTCTGAGTACGCACTGGCGTGGCACTCATTAACAGTCAGGTGATTACACGTTGTGCCCAGAAACGTGACGTCGTTCAGCTCAGCGCCTGTTTGGAGGGTACAAAGTACTCCACCGGTTGTTAACTGTGTACCTGGTAGTTCTACAAGCTATGTCAACTTGGCCAGGTAACTTTGTAGGAAATGTCTGGGGCTCAATGTCCAAGTTCTGCTATCAGGATATGACTGACAGCAGTAGGTTCTTCCTGGTACCGATAAAACAAAGCTGTCCACGTTCACAGCCTGTTATCGGCAAACTCAAAAGACTAGCTGGCAAGCTGCCTCTTAAATGCTGTTCATCAGTTTATTGAAGGCGGCCTTTCTGTACAGAAATGTCGGTAAAGTGCTTCAACAACGGGATACAGGCACACAGCTCTGACATAAACTGCAAACACCAAACGCTTGTGGAGGCTGCAGACTTCCTCTGTGTGGCCGGCTACAGGTCAGCGCTTCACAACAAATGTCGGGCTGTTTCTTTAGTGTCTGGCAGAACAAAACCATCTCTCAAAAAACAGCCGGTTTGATAGACCGAGTCCGACTGCAACATTACTGTCCCATTCATAATCCTGCTTGTCGGCACAAATATTTTCTTTTTTAGCCTCCGAGCTCTCTCTTCATAAGCCCGCCGTCTACCAACAGACGGGCAGTTCTCAAATAACGCCACTCGGTAGCACACACCCTGGCGTAGAATTTCCTCAGTCTTGATTGGCTGTGGAGTTTTTTTTTTTAATCTCGACGCTCTTCGCTAAGTCGCAGCTGCCTCTGCCGACGAGGAGCCCAATGTTTGCTTTTCAGTGTATTAACCGCTGATTCAAATATGCGTACACGAGCCTAGGCACACACACACCTATTGAGTAATTCTCCGGGAGCAGGACTGGACCCAGCCTCATCTGACGGCCCACAATAGACCAGTGTTGGATGCAGGTAATATTGGTTTCTGAATGGACGGATGTGTAGCTTGGCTCCCATACGCCAAGACTGTGTTATCTGACCATAAGACCTTGTGATTGATTTGCCTGATGCCTGCCAGGCTACCCAGGGGCAAATAAGAAATGAAGCAGGCAGCTTTGATATTGAGGTATTGTAAAAATGCCCCAATGCTTACTCGAGCAGTTGCTGCACTCATATCGTCAAGTCACATGCTGATTACATCATAGCTATTCTTAGGGATGGAGGAATGACATCATTAGAGTGATCCGGAGTTGTGCATGTCAAGTGCATTACGTCTTGTATCATTCATGCATAAAAAATCCGGCCAAATCTGGTTAATTCACTCTTGAAATCCCAACACTGTTGGTGAAAATTTTAATAAGAATGATCGCATGGTAAAATCTGAAAATTGTTTCCATCCTTCATATGAACATACATGTGCTTCAAATTGTCACACAGTTTTTATATTTTTTAAGACTGAATCAAAGTCATTACTGTTTTATAAATAAGGATGCTCAAATTCATGGTAAGGAAAAGTAATTCGTGTGTATTTGGGGTTCATTTTTGGGGGACAAACTTTGAGCTGTGTCCTCAAATTAAAGGGTCCTCAACCTCAAATCAGAAGTCGCTATAAATCCCTTCCATCTTCGGTCTGATTCCCATTCAACTCAACACTTCCAGCAAACTCCTTCTGCAGGATCACGGCAAAACATCTCAAGAATGACAACCATCCGACACATCTTCCCCGGTTGCATGTCTCTTTGCCATTGCTGCAACTATCTGAACATCCGACTCACATCCAAGGTCACAGCCATCCCCCCCACCCCCAAATACAAATGCCGCATGGCAATAACACCAACAGGGTGAAATAAGATGATAATTTAATTCAATTTGAGATAAAGATCTGTGTGGTATGAGATGATGTAATGAGTTAAAAAAATAAAACTGACCAATGGATTGTTCCATTCACATGATGGGTGGACACAGTAACTGAACTGTGTAATCACTCACCAAACTTGACAAATGATATCTAGCGCCAACACAGAACCAGTGTTGTAATAGCAAATATGATCAGAGTGGTATCAAGGATATGGTAAATATACACAAACAGTTACCATGCCCATGTGGTTTATCTAAGGTGCTGGTATGCAATTAATGTAAGTACTGCCCTTACTGAATGCCATAAAAAAAATCCCTAAACCTTTTTTGGGTAATACCGGCACGAGAATTTAAATGCCGCTCCCACGCAAAGCTGACTGAAGCTTTTTGGAGCTTCCACTGCACATGCTCCACGTCTGATTGCAGCCATTTACGTGTTCACCACCTTATCACTGTTTTAAGCATGCCCCATTAAAAAAAAACCAATTCCACACGGTCGCGTTTTAAAATCCACACTGTGCTGCCAACCGTCCTAGGCCGCCTCTTGATGGATCTGAGATGGGCCCACGGTCACATGGAATGACAAGTGTTTATGCTGTCCGATCAGACGCCAGCCGTTAATCAAACACCGAAGATTCGAGACAGCGGTGTTTCATCTTTGAGAAGGATGAGCTAGACTAATAACCACAGTGCCCTTTCGCGCGATGTTACCTGTAAAACGGGGCTATGTTTGGAGACATTCTGCATGCAGCCGCGACTGCCGTGCAAACTCAGCCGCGACAGTATAACTCTCAAGTTACATGTGTAGTTGTTTGTATCGCAAGTACAGACAGGAGTAGGTTTTCATGTCATTAGCCGCAACTTACAAGAGCGCTTTCCCATCTTCTGACAAGGCGGGGCAAAATCTCTGCTACCTGATGGCTTCCCCCGCCTCTAAATTTGGTATGCACATTGAGACATCTATTCTGGATGCAACTAAAAGGCACGGACAGGCAAATTCAAGATTTGTCAAGGGTGGCCAGAAGACGAGCCAACCAAACATCAAGAGTTCAAAACCAAGGATACACCACCATAGAGATCGATGGTGAATTTTGTGAACCAAAATAATGCCCATTACGCTGCATGTACATGTACGTTTCTGTCAGTTTTCGTGGACGTAAATTGAATAGTTGGGAAAAATGATTTCAAACACTGGGAGGGGGGATGTGAATCCTCATCTCCCTCTGGTTCTGTCGCCCATTATTGACTTCAAACTTGCAATTATCGCATCCAATGGGAGAGACCACCTGATCCCGAACAGATGCATCAGACAGCCAATGGCCATGATCGTGTTTCCCCGGTTAGCTCTGAGATAACATTGATTTAAGGTCCTGTGTCCATTTAAATGCTGTCCAAAGTGTAAAGAATATGGCACTGCGTGCTTATACCATAAACAGAGCTGACCCCCCCCTGAATTCTAGAAGGCTTCTCAAAGACAAGCTCATCGGCTAATGCATGCAGACAGTGCAAAGAAATGTGCCTTGACCGAGGAAAACAGAGACAAATAGGGATGCACAATGTATTACAGATTCTACGCATGAAGAAATGACGGGTTTAAGATGGAGGATGAAGAGAAAGTCACAAAATATACGGCAGAGGGGTCATACCAAGAACAATAAAACACTGGGACTTTCCAAGGACTCCCAATCCGGTTCATAAGTGACTTCGTCACAAAGGCGGACCCGCCACGATTCACAGGCTCCCATTGGACGATCGCAGAAGTTGCGCGTTGAAGTTGCGAATTTACAGATCTCTGTGGAAACATTTGTGGGACACACAGAGCAGCAAGAATCGCTCTGGCCATCGCGAATTGGCAAGGTCGTTTTTGCGTGGTTCTACATATCCAGAAACCTGATTATCCGCTTGTTAAGGTAAGTGTGATTTTCATAATAGACAGGAGCAATAGGATAGGCTACACAGTGATCTGATCTATGTACATGTATCTCTTACCGATGGTTGCACTTGTCATTATCTGGGGGTGGACCCCGTTGTCAGCAATGCACGCGTACACTCCTTCGTGAACTGCTTTCTGTAGGTTCTTCAGTTTTAACTTGATGCCCCTGGAGTTCAAGATTAACACAAACCCCAAACACTTCATCAGTAGAAGCTACAAAGTAAATGCTTCTCTTTAAGTGGGGGAAACTTATCAGATCATAAAGGCTGGCTACAATGGTCTCAGGGGTGAGATCGGAGGATGAAGTGAAATCAACGTAACATCCAGCTGAGGAGTTGAATACCACTACACCAAAGCACTGTGACTTTGCACGACTCCTTTTAATGCCCTAGGCAAGAGTTCCCTCCAAAATGACTGTGATTTTGTCAATCCAGCATATGGCTTTTTGCCCATTTTTCCCAAGTCCAAGGCACAACCTGAATGACTTTAAAGCTCTAGAAATGCAGGGCTTTGTGTCTGAAATCCTGAAAAATCCAGGAAATTGCAACCCAGTGGTCATTTGTGAAACTCTAAAACAAAGTACACACATGTACACCTGTGTGTACACTTGTTCAATCCATGAACGGTGCTGGTGTTTCCTAGGTAAAAGCACTGGTCTCCAGTTGTCTTTTTCTAACCAAGATACCTGTGATGGCAGAGAACCGATCTGACTATCTGATGAAGATGGCCGATAATAGTGAAGTGCTCTGATATGAATGCTTCTTATTAATCAAGAACAGATTAAACCAGTTTGCCTACTAGCGTTTGCTATCATTGCGTAGAAATTGCTCATTTCCTACTTTTAATTTAAACAGTTATTTTCTTTCCTCTTTTACGAACACTGTTCTCCATCAAAATCTACGGAATTCAACAAACCTTTTCACTTATTTTCACAAGATGTCCCAACCTCTCATGTTTTGGTGGGTGGGGGGGGTGGCAGAGGGATCAGGCTAAAATCGGAAGTCACATGACCACTCACCCTTTTCCGCTCTTGTAGGAAATGCCCCTGATGGCCCCCTTCGATAACGTGACATTGTCTTTCATCATGGTGAGCCTGGGCGAGGGGTAGCCCGACGCCGAGCACGACACCGTAGCACGGCCCCCTGGTAGGTAGGTCTTGTCCTTCAGCTCTCTCGCAAAGGTTGGTGCGGCACCTGATGGAAAATAGAAAGTCGGGGGGCGATGGTTAAGTGCAACGCCTCAGTTTAGAGATTGGGGATGAGGAGAAATCAATAAAACATCTAGCAGAAGGGTTGTAACAATGACAACAATAAATACTGTGATTCTTCAGGGCTTTTAAAGCAGCTTACAATGCATGGATTCTCCTCCAAATTGCTACGATTACGTGTATGTTAATCTCCATCTAGGGTTTTAGCACCAAGTACAAAAACAAAAGCAAAACCTGAATGGCTGACCCCTTTAAAATTCCAAATGAACTGTAACAGCCTGAAATCGGGGGGGGGAGGACTGAGAAATTACAACCCTAACAGTGTGATGCTGGAAATGAACAAAACTTCATTGTCACTGAAACAAAAAGTAAGAACCAAGGGTAATTCTTTCAGTTAGCATAAATGAAACCACCATGGAATACTGACGGACAAAATCTGACATATCATCTGACGAAACGAATCAGAGGTTGCAACAGCCGCGTAAAAATCTTTAACAGAATCTTGTAACAATGAAAAGCAACAGGAGAATCCCTTAATACTTAAATTTTCTTTGAAATTTAATGCTCATTGTATAAAAACATACATCTCTACTATGACATCATGCTTGAAGAAAAAGACGGCTGGATGAAATAGTCCATCTTTTTGTATAAAAGCACTCAGACTACACAATAATTTATTTTGCGATGAACAATCATTTTCAAAGACTAAGTCAATCTATAGGAGCGTGAACATAATCTATCAACGCGAGTCCTTCATTGATTCAACACTGCCACCGAGTGATACATGCATCTCCTGTATCCAAGAATTTCATGCATGCAGCCACAAGCCTCCTGGAGTCAACTGTGCCATCATGCAATGGCGCCCTCTTGTGTCACACAACAGGTTCAGTTCAGTGACGAGTCCAAGTTGAGGGCATCACTCTCAAGTGGCAAATCAACCACAGGTTCCACAGAAAATTGAACTAAAGATCAGTATAAAGTCGAGAAAAAGAAATGCCTCAGATATCCTAGATTCCAGATTAATGCCAATCTGTCTGATGTCAGTTTTGAAAACCGAACACAGTGATGTGATTACTCAACACCTGACCCGGATCAATTCCACCCGAAAGAAGGTCAGTCTGTCAACCCCGAAAGGTTTTAATTATTGACTTAATTCTTAGCTGAATCTCCTTTGAAAAATGCCACAAACTATGCGAAATCTGTCAACCTGGTGCCACCATTGCTTCTTGTGAACGGGAGCCGGCAACCTTACACTGCTACAACCTGATGTCTTAATTCCTCCCGAGACAGACACTTTTCTCCCTGGGATGTTTCACCAAAAACTACCCTCCTGTTCCGGTCCCTGCTGTCTCCAACCAAAGCCCCAGCCAAAATTCTCTTCCCTTGTCATCGGCTCCTCGCATGTGGTGCATACTTTTTTTCTGCATGCGCCTTGTTGACAACACTAAGAAGGAGGCACGAAAAGATTTAATACTCTACCAGTTGTATGCGGCAGCAAATTTTTGCACGATGTTCACCCCCTGCTGGTAACAGATTTTGCCCTCCAACTGCACATTTGTTTCATTAGCATTAAAAAGGGCGGAATTTTCTTTAGTATAATTACTAGCAGTATTGCATGTAATTTGTGGGTGTTTTTGATAGATGCGTGAGATTTTTTGACACTTTGCTTCTGTACTGCTGATAGCCAGCCAGAATTCAAAGATGCCCTGGCTGTTAGTGAAAGGCCTGACACATGGACTTCAAGTCTTCTCAAAACACTATTACAATTAGTGAAACCATGGAAGGCTTAGAAACTTCTTGAGGTATCTCCTAAAATCAGGTCCAAGTTGAAAGTTTTAAAAACTTTCCAGAGAGTTCATATTACGTACTGCTGATAATTTCAACATCCTTGAAAAGAGAGTTTGTGATCAAGAGGGGCAGTTTTTTTCACTTTGGGTTTTCAACAAATAGGAAAAGTTGCAGGGCAAATTCCAGGTTGTGCACAGGTTACGATGAATCGTTCAATTTTTTAATAAATGTCCGTCAACACAACTTATACTCCACCGTCTTCAGATGGGGAGACTGTTGGCTTTCCAGAATATATACTAATTCAGTTACTGGCCTCTTCCCTTGTTCCTTTCCCAAGTTCCTTCCCCGCTAATTTCCCTCTGACTGCCGGGCGATAACATCAGTGATATCATTCATCCATCAATATACTCAAGCATATACCACCCAAAAGTTATTCTTGTTTGATGTCAAACCTCCCAGTGTCCATATTCCTTCCAGTCGTGCCAATAAATTGGCACGTCACTCAAAAGGGTCGGTGTAATTCATCTTAGTTCTGGGCAGAGTAGGCAACTTTTCCTGTTTCTGCCCTACATGTAGGTTGCTGAGTTACCCTCCCAGGTTAGTTATCTATAAATGGACCTCAAGTTTTTATATAAATAACATGCACAATCCATGTGGATTAATCGGGATAGCCAGGTAGTCTTTCAATTTCACATACTTTATCTCCCACCGGTGGTGAGGTGCCATACAAGAAGTTTACTTCAAAACCCATGAAGTAAACTGCATTCTCTTCTGATAACTATATTGGTAATATCTTATAGAGGCTTTGCGCTGCAGCCATCTTGCTGGATAACTCTTTTGTTCCACAGGGAAACCTCCTTTGTACATCTGTGGAACAAAAGCACTGGTCTGCAAGATGGAAGCCCTGCAAACCCTGGCAAAGTGTCATCATATGGAAATTATTAACACTTCATTATCACCTGTTCCTCCTGAGCAGTAATTTCCTGTGACAATTAAATCTTGCTTTTTACATGATGCCCCTTTGTCTCTTGATATTTGCTTGTACGTATGTACAGTGTATATTTATGTAGGTCAACATTTGTTTCGATTTGGTTGCTCTGTTTTCTTCACTGAAAAGGACGTAAAATATATGGATGATTGACGAAGGATTAAATTAGCAAAACAGAAATAACATCATTACACACCGGAGAAAAACTGCATTGTCAAATGGTTCAGATACTAAATCTGCAAAGAGGAATTTGACAAAACCTCTTCACAAGTGCTGTGCAAAAATCCATTCTTTTCTGCTGATTAAGTTGGAGGCTGGGTTGCCATTCTGACTGAAACATTATTTTTAATTGCTCACCCGAAAGGATCTCTAACAATTTCTTCAGGACCTTGGGGCCGTGAATTGGAGGAAAAGTGATCTGATACGGTGCCATCTTTTGTGTTGGTTAAGCACTGAACTTCATCCCAGGGCCGGATACTTTGCATCCTTTGGATGATAATGTGTTGATGGGACTGGCAGGGATGTGGAATCAAGGCTGAAGGAATTCAACATTTTGAGTATTGAGGACCACACAAACTGTGCCTCAGGATCTGTGCTGTGATGGGGAGGAATTTGTGGTCTGCCCACAGAGCACTTAAAGTGACCACAATGTAAGCAGTGGAAGAAATATACAGTCCATTGAAAACGTCAAGTGAGCGGGTAAGAACGGTACCTCTCCAGCCAGAGAAAGCACAGGAGCATTAGAATTGAGTAAGCAACATTCAGGAAGGTGCTTCTGCGCCATTATTGCTCAGCATACAATGTCCACAGTGTGTAATTCATTAGAGCTCGGACTGAGAAGAGAAACTTTGCATCTTTCACACCCAGTGGCGTAATGGGAGGGGGAGGGGAGGGGGGCCCCCTGTGTCCTCCCCTCATTTGAGATCTCTGTTGAGTTTATATAGCTATGCAACTACAGCTTATTCTCTAGTCTTGCCCCCTTGAAAAACTCTGTGCACCCCGGGTGCCCCTGGGCATTTAGCCCTCGCTACGCCACTGTTCACACCATGAGGAAAAATCAAGTTAAAAATACGAATGAATAAAAAAAATACCCGTGTTTAGTTCTGGTGATCACACACCTGATATGCAGACTTAATATGAATCAGCCGTAGAGAGGAATTCCAATATCTTCTTCTTTTGTATTTTTAGGATATGATAAAGATAAAAATTTACTTCTGATCAGTGAATACATTCAGCTGTCTGGAAAAACACATCAACGAAACTTGATATAAATTTAAACTCAAAAGAGACCCCGATAAATAAAATTCTAAAATAACACACATGCATTATTCACGACAAATTTTTACCCTTCCAAACCTTCATTTGCCAAAGTGAAAATTGTCTGGCAAAAGGACAAGTATTCTAAATATTTATGATATCACAAAGGTTGGTTGTAACAGCAGAAGACAGACCTCCTCAGCGAGACTCCTGGAGCCCACAGAGACAGAAAAACTAAAACACAAGGGTTTCGCTAGACTAGCTGCAGGGAACAGTTTTTCAGAAACAATCAACATCTCCTTCTGCGTTGAAGTGCACCCTTCAAAGTGAGCGTCTGCTGTGTTGGTTAACCACAAGGCATTTTTCCCCTGAGCCTGTTGGCCTGGCATTCTTGGATGTCCCTACCATTTGGGAATCAGGAGAAAGGTTTTTGGAAGAGTGGCCAAATAGTACTCGAGGCCTTCCACCCAGGAACTCAGTGGAACCACAGAGGAAGGAAAAGACTGGTCGTGAAGCGAAACCAACACTCCACAGTTTAACCACTCAACCCCCTCCCCTGAAAAACCCAAGATAAAGAAAAACACCCTCAATACTCCAACTAAAAACCTCAAAAAACCATCAACAACAAACTTTCTATACTTCCCACACCACATTACTGAGGCCATGTTTTAGAAGATGGTAAAAGCTGAAAATTTGTAAAAATGTATACTGCTATATTTACCAGCAGAACTGTTGAATAAGACACATGCACATGTACCTACAGGTGCAAGTTTGAGAACTTAAAGTCAATAGAAAGTGCTGGGAACCCCAATTTTCGGCACTATGAATATTTCATCGCCAAGGCTAAGTACCGTGGTTGACAGCATCAGTGTCTAGCATCATTCACACGGCCATCATTACCATACCACCAACAGACATCATTTGCAGCCCAGCGGAAGACAGCCCAACCACAA